TCCCGATCCGTCTGTACATTCCCTGTCCTGCCTACTAAATTCTAGACGTTGAATTAGCTCCTGGAATGTCTCGGCACTTTGTTCTGAGGAGCGAGGGGCTTGTTAGGATGTACGATACAAGACGAGACTGGATTTGGAGAGGATCCTAAATGAGCATTGGGGTTAGAGTCAAATACTTCAGAGAAATGGCTTGAGAGAGTTACATAAAGAGGATAGGAGGTCTCCTGTGAGAGGTACAAATGTCCAGTCAGAGTGAGAAACGTCTTTCTGTGGTGTACCTTATTTTTAATATCCAGCACCATGACGTTGTGACAAATTCCTCGACGTTAAAGAAATCTAAGAGGCTGGGGGTAATTTCTGCTGATGTTTAGCATTCCCACAATATACTCCCATTTCCATACTATTTTCTGTGGAGGAGCCATAGCATTGAGATATCTTTCCAATATATTGAATACAGTTATGACCTGAGGAAGGATGTAGCTGTATTGGAGGCAGTTCAGAGGAGGGTCACTCCACTGTTCCCAGCGATGAGGGGGATTGTTTAATGAAGGGACATGGAACAGGTCATGAAATAATCTCTGGAATTTTGAAGACCGAAAGGAAATCTAATTGACGCTAAAGGTGGGGATTGACAAAGGACATTGAGACAGGATGGCTCCTTAATGTGGAGGAGAATCTCGAAGGAGAGGCTGTGGTTCCAGGATAAGGGAAAACAGAGATGGGGAACATTATCTCTCTCAAAGGGTGGCGAATCTGTGCAACTGACTCTCCCAGACTGAGGTGGGTGCTGGGACATTGATAAAATGTAAGGAGGAGATGGACAGATTCTGAATGAGGAATGGGTGGCAGGCTGATGGGGAGAGGGCAGGACAGTGGGGTAACGGCTGAGAAGAGATCAGCCATGACCGCACAGAATTCAGGAGCAGGCCTAAGGTGCTGAATGGCCTCCTTTTACTGGTATATTCCACGTTTCCATGGAGATTAGGTTTTTGTTCAGGGTTGCATTGCTGTGTGAATGATAGAGCTGGTACTCAGCTGATCTTTGGAGAGGGGACAAAGTTAACTGTGACACCAAGTAGGTATTCAGTAACACCTCTACACTGATTATGTTTGTTATGTGAGCGTGTGTGTGTGTGTGTGTGTGTGTGTGTGT